AGACCCCTGGCCTCCCTTTTGCTCCTGTAGTTTTCCCTAGGCCTTCCTTCCATGGACGTTAACAGCACCGCGGCACTTAGCACTGGGCCAGTAGGTTTTGGCGTGTCCGACGTGTTGTCAGTCCTGCTGGTGACAGGGGCCACGTCTTACACATTTTTTCTTTTTAAATGTGTCTTGATTTCAGAGAGAGGAAGGGAGAGGGAGAGAGAGAGAAACATCGATGATGAGAGTCACTGACCGGCTGCCTCCTGCACGCCCCCTGCTGGGGATCGAGCCCGCACCCCGGGCCTGTGCCCTGACCGGGAATCGAACCATGATCTCCCGGATCCTAGGTCGATGCTCCACCGCTGAGCCACGCGGGCCGGGCATGTCTCACACTTTTTGCTGTGCCTTTTCGTAGAGTCCTGCACATCAGATGACAGGGCCCAAGAGCTTGGAGCCCGATAGGCGCTCCTTCCCCTCCCCCATGCGGCTGGGCAGCTGCTGTGCGGGGACCTCTGGCCATTCCCTGACCGCTCCAGGTCCTTAACTGCCTCCACGTCCCCGCCTGTCCTAGGCCTACCAAAATCTCAAGCTCAGGTCCTACCTCTCCCATCTATCTGCATCCCTCATGTCGGAATTAACTGCTTCTTCCTCTGCTGTTGTTTTTTTACATATAAAGAACTATAAAAATTTTTTTGCGACATAATATTAGAGTCATCTAGACAGCGACTCTGTTCACAGCAAAACCAGGTCATGTGCATTTTCCCCCATCTGGCTGGTTGAGTTTATTCTTAGTCACTCAGTCAAGTTTGTGCTTCGGGTTTAGTGAGCGAACACACTGAAAGAAAGAATTATAAGCAGCGTTAAAAATTGCTTCACGCGTGTTACAGCTCATAAGTGGACATCGAGGGGTCACCCCGCAGTGCAGCTGGCAGTGAGGACAGGCCTCAGCCCCGGCTCTGCCGCACTTACCAGCTGTGCAATGCTGTGGACGCCTCTCCGGGCCTCGGTTTACTCATGTGGACAAGGAGGATATTATTACGGACCTCACAGGCCTGTTGTGAGAGTCACGTTAGTCCAAACAGGCCAAGCGCTCAGGACAGTGCGTGGTGCATACGAGGTGCTCAGTGATGGGCTGGCCACTGCCATTGTCATTGTCACCATCTCCATCAGGGTTACTATGGTTCTGGAGCTGCGGGGAGTCCAGTGTGTTCCATCTTGCTTTGCCCAACGGCTGTTTGAAAGTTATTTTCTCCCTCGGTGAGTGTGTTTCACTTTCAGGACCAAGAAACGAATCAGACTGTGCTCTTTGACCGCAGAACAGGCTCCCTGGAGAGGAGGGAGCGGCACTGTGGTCCCTCGACCGGGCGGGGCTGGGAAGCGACGGCTGCGAGCCACACAGAACTGGTTCCTGCACCGTGGCGACGCCGAAAGGGACCCTTCAGAGCCCCCAGTCTAATCAACGATGACGTGAGTCATCCTGAGGATCCTTTCAAGCTCCCGCACCCCGTGACTGTTCACCGGGTTTCCAGGGGCAGTGTGAGCAAGCGGCCGTGCCAGGAACCTGCAGTTACACTCTGAACTGGGCTGGGAACTAACACTTTCACTGAAAAACAGGAATCTTTCATTTCCTCCCGTGTCCTGAAGAGTGAATTTCCATAGAAGTAAACCCGGTGTGGTGACTCAAGCCTCTGAGCAATTCTGGAGAGGAAATTGTGAAATTGTGTTGGCTGAGGAAGTTCTCCCAGCTTCCCAAAGGGGGCGCACGGGAGCAGAAAGGTTATGGGTAGAAAATGCTTGGATTCTGTGCTTTATTTAGCCTTTCGATTTCTTTTGCAAGGATGGGAGGACACTAAACGACTTTGTAAGACTGTCTTAAGGCCGGAGGGGCAGATATTGAAAATATACAGTTAACTTTGGACGATCCCTCTCTATCCCTCCAGGCCAAAAAACGCTCACCTCTCGCCCGGCTGGCTGCCGCACAGCGCGTGGCTCTCATTAAGCTGCTTTCATTAAAAGAGGAGGGGGTGGTGGTGGAGAAACAATTACATAGTCAATAAAAATGCAACTTTATTTCTCTCTGAGCTGCTGAGGATTTTTTTTTTTTTTAAAGGATTCTTTGTATATATAATCTGGATCTCACCTTCAGTCCGACAAGGGAGAAGCTATTGACATAACCAAGTTTAATACAAGTTACCCACTCCCTAGGGCTAAGCGCTCCTTCCTGCCAAGTAAGAGGAGCGACGTCAGCGCCTAGAACCCTTTGTAGAAACAAGTTTCTGATTCACACTCATTAGTCACTAGCGTCGGGGAGTGAATGCCGGTGTAAGACGGGGTGTCTGTGAGACACACATCTCCTCACGGGTTCACTTTTCAGTACAAACGTGATGTTGCCTTTGTGAAGGCAGCTTTGGCCGGCTACCCCCTTGTGCAGAGTTTCAAACACATCTCAGAAGAATTTGGGAAATTTATGTATTTTTAGTTCGAGCAGCATAATCAGCCTCTTATTTTACTCAAATTACTGTTATCACATTGCCCTAAAAATGTAAGAAACTAACGTACCTGGGAAATGCACAGGGCTGAAAATTTTTCAAACATTTTATGTATGTTATAGATATAAAAGAATTAGGTGGGATAATACATTTGGGTTTATTTGACAGCTTAATGAAATGATGTCCTTTTTTTTCTTCTTTAAAATATATCTTTATTGATTTCAGAGAGAGGAAGGGAGAGGGAGAGGGAAACATCAATGATGAGAGTCACGGATCGGCTGCCTCCTGCACGCCCCCTGCTGGGGATCGAGCCCGCGACCCGGGCCTGTGCCCTGACGGGGAATCGAACCGCGATCTCCTGGATCCCAGGGAAATGACTTCTTTTATTACTGCTGCCAGCTGAGTTAAGGCAAAGCGATAGAAAGCATTAGTCTAAAGAAGAAAGCCAAGTGCTCTGCGGCCCCCTGAGACCCGGCTGGGCTCCATGTGCCTCTGAGCGCTGCCCTGAGACCCTCCTGGTCCACCCTCTGGGCCCAGAGGATGCACGATCTTGCATTCGGTTGTTAACAGACTTATGACAGGACAGACGTTATCCTGCTACACAGTTCTTCTTAAAGCGCAACCTTTAAAATTGGACTCTTTCCTGACCTCGCGCAGAGAGCAGGGTAAGCAGCGGCCTTTTGAAATGTGCAGTTTACGCAGCGAGCCCCGTGCAACGGTTGGCGACACCGAGCCCTGGGCCCAGGCGGTGTGTGTGCACGGAAGCGGGGCCCACGGGCTACTTTTTTCTCCTTAATTTGGGCCGTCGTGGGGAAGACAGATGCTCTCCCCAAGCGGTTAAGCATCTCATCAGCTAGCCCGCGGGAGCACGGGCCCTGAAGATGCAGTGAGCGCTCGGCTAGCGCCAGCTGTCAAACAGGGTTCAGCTCGTCAGCTGCTCAGCGTTACAGTCAGAGCTCAACCTGCGGCAAGTCTGCGCGAAACCCATTGAGCTGGTTACTAAATGTCCAATGTTACATAAAAACTATAAATAGCTTGGTACTGTTATTTTTTTCCCCAATTTGCTTTTCTTGAAGCAATAATGATGGTCTGCTTCACTTAATAGAGTCACTTTGAAGCTGCCTTCGTGTTTAATCCGCATAATCTTCCTGTGTGGAAGAAAAGGGCAGGCAGTAATCTAATCAGAACTAAAAGCATTCCTGGGAGCATCTGTTGTTAACAATTTTAAAAATTAAGAGAACACCAAAGATAGTGAAGGCTAAAAAAAAATTAAAATTAAACACTAGGCTTAATAATCTTGTAAGTGCACTTTCCTTTGGGAAATAAAATGCTGTTTCTGTAAAGGACATCTAGTCTTTTTCAAATATTTGCAAAGGAATCCATCCTCTGGCCACAAGAACGTCAATTACTCTTAACAATACCAGGCCAGCAGCCAACCCTGAGCAAACACATCTACCTCAGTGTCCGAAACCTGACTGTTGAGTTAAGAAGGGTTTGTTTCCACACCCGGAAACTCACCCTCTGCTTTCCCCGCGTGGGTCACCTAATAGCTGATCTAAAGGCTGGTGGTTGATATCTGCCCAACTAAAAGGCTAAAGCAAGCTGAGGACCAGATGCAAACCCAATAACATCGAAATCTTTGTTTCTTAAAATTTGTTAAAAGAAGTTTCCTTCCTCACTTTCCTGGTAAGTTCTTCTTGCGACAGCTTCTAGAATGACCAACAATCTCCATGCTAGTAAGCTTCTCTGATTACCAAGAAAGAAACTTTTTTTTTAATACGTCTTTATTGATTTCAGAGAGAGGAAGAGAGAGGGAGGGAGAGATATAGAAACACCAATGATGAGAGTCATTGATCGGCTGCCTCCTGCAGGCCCCCGCCGGGGATCGAGCCTGCAACCCGGGCCTGTGCCCTGCCCAGGAAGGAACCGTGATCTCAACCGCTGAGCCACGCCGGCCGGCCAGGCGAGAAAGAAGCTTTCAAACAAAACTTCGGAGTCGGACACACTCAGGAACAGATGCAGAGTCCTGGTCAGCTCTGCATGTTTTGCACAGGGTGGGGACAATTTCTTCTTCATAATTTCCCCCAGGACAGTTAAAAAGGACCAACCCAAGATGGACATGCTAACAGTTTGAAATGTGAGTTTCTAAGTCTAAAGGAAAAACATTTTGAAAAGTATCTGAAAACTGAAATGAAGCAAAGGGTGGCATATAAATTAATATCTTCGAGGAAAAATCACAGGCATCTTCAGGAACATTCACTGCTCAGCTGAAGCCGGAGTCGGAAGGCCACCGAAGTCCTGAATTTCACCTGGGATCCTGCGCTAACTTTTTAGCACGTGGTAACATCTATATCCTACAATAGTTTTTTTAATATTTAAAATAACAGTCCCCAAGACCTATGTACTATTTTAGATTTTTGATGAAAATAAGTGATAATCCTTAAATTGAATGCATACTGTAACACAATAGTTGCTTGAAAAATAAATGTTGACACAATGATATAATTTTAAAATAAAGAGCCATGATATGTACACCAAGTTTTATTTGCCTTTAAATAATATGGATAGAACAAATATGTTATTCAAAAGATTAAATTTTCTTGAATTTGACAGAAGAAAAAGAAATTGAAGTGAAACTGTAGGAATTGCTGAACTTCACATAAATGTTTCTTCAAAACAAGAGATATTAGTTCCTAAAAGATTCTTCTAAAGTTAAAAAAAGATTAAGAAAAACATTAAGCCATTGGGTCACCACATTTTTAAAAAACAACACGTTTCTTAATGGACATATGATTACATGACATACAGTGAACTTCGTCTCCTGTCTCATAAAACTCAGAAGACACCCTGATGTCTAAACTAATAAAAGCCTTTTTTTCCGTTTTAAAAAAACTTTAAAACCGTAATCTGCCTTAACATTATTTTCCAAGAAAGTTTAACAGGGAGTGGCTAATCGGAAAGCAAAGTGTTGCACAAACCACTCTGGAGAAAATAAATGCTCGTGGGAGATGCTTGGAGGGAGTCGTGCCAACTAAGACCCCGCGAGGACGCGCGGTCAGAGCACCAGGCGGTCCTCTCCGCCCTCCTGAATTACCTGCCCGATGGAAGTCTGGTTTTGTTTCAGAAAGCACTGTTTCTTACATTCCATCAGCTGCTCGAAATCTCGCCACATTTTCACTTGTTTCATATTTGGACCGTGACTTTCTCGTACAGCTTTCTGTTTCTCCCGAAGTTTCTATTATTTAAAAAAAAAAATCAAGAGTAATGAAATCTCGGTTTCAGGAACTCACTTGTGTTGCTGCGATCAGAAGAGGAGGGTATGCTCTGTACAGGGGGCTCCTCTACGACGGGTGAAAACTAGGGTTATACAAGCTAAATAAATCTGTGATAGATGCAGGACAACCTGAAGTTAAAAACAAAAAACGAAACAAAACAGAAAAAATGTCAAAGGACAGGAGGGGAAATACAGGGATCAGGAAAGCGGAACAGAATCATGGTACGTTTGCGGAGTCAGAGGACCCGCGTTTCGACCTTGTCTTTGCCACAAGCTCTAAGAAAGACCCGTAATTCCTCTGAACTTTGCTAAATGTCGATTAAGGCTCTAAGAGGGGGTCCTTATAAAAGTATCTGCCTCGAAAGACTACTGTTTCACATGACAAGGACACAGATGCGTGACAGGCGCCCACGGCCGCGCTGCTGCTGTTAAAGGATGTTCTTCCCTGACGGCGTCTGCTCGGCGTCGGCCTCTGTTTGCGAGGCAGGAGGTCAAGCGATTTTTTTAAAGTGCGGCATGAAACAGGCCCAACCCCTCGCTGCAGTTGTTTTTGTTACTAGTAGCCGAAACGTCTACTCGCTGACTCTAACATTATACACGGGAGTAAGACAATGTTTCAATAAACTGCAAAGCTGTACTTTGGGTCAATGGTGTGACCAGCTGGGGAAGGGCGGCTGAAAGGAGGGGCAGCACGGAGCCGAGGCAATGAGGCGAGAAAGGAAACGGGGCGCAGGGGAGACACACAGGGAGCAGTGCCGGGAGCACCCCGACACGGGGTGGGAGTCACCGGGGAGACAGGAGGGCGACGGGCTGCGGGGGCGTCCCCACCGCTCCCTCTTTGGGGACACAGCTGAGCTGACGTTGATCTGGGGGGCCAATGGGAAGGCTGGTCGTTGGTATTTGCCCAAATAAGAAGCTGAACTAAGCTGAGGACCAGATTCAAACACTTACTGAAGCTGCCCCCCAGCCAGGGCTAATGAAAGGAAGGGAAGAGCACGCAGCAGGAGGAGACAAAACGGAATTAAGGGACATTATTTAAGTACAACCAGCAAATGTTTGACACAACACCTGGCATGCGAGTGCATCTATGTAAGTCTCCATTACAAAGTATCTTACCACAAATAGTTTTAGCTCATAAACTGAAAGAAGTGAGTCAGATCAAGAATTTTTAAAGTTCTGAGCATGATTTTAAGATTAAGTTGCTACTTAAACTGTAACTTTTCTTATATTATGGGAATAATTTCCTTGTCAAAAAATCCTAACCACCTATAAAAGTTATTTAAAGAACCAAAGAGGGGATGTGGGCACTTCGTCAAAAATACGAAATTTAATTTGCTTCACAACCACATGTGTCTGAATCCTTTAACCTACAAATACAAGTGACTTTAGTATATAATGAATTCATTAATTCTTTTGGTTAATCTTCATCTGAGGATATTTTTTCATTGATTTCTAGAGAGAAGGGAAGGGGGGGACAGAGAAGCATGGATGTGAGGGAGACTCATCGGCTGGTTGCCTCCCGCACGCGCCCCGGCAGCAGGTCGAACCCACGACCTGGGAGTGCGCCCGGCAGGATTCGAACCTGCAACCTTTCCGTCTACGGGAGAACGCGCCAACCACGCGAGCCGCAGCGGCCAGGGCTGGGCCCTCACGCTTATGAAACCAGCTCCTAAGGACGCACCTTCATCTTGGAAAACGATTAAGAAAGGTCCAGGGCCCCTCTGGAAACCGCTAAATAACTGACTCAGAACCATGCACTGCAAGCCGGAGTTAGACACATTTGAAAAAACAAATGAAACATTCTTACCTTTCCAAGGTTTTCCTGTTCAGCAATATTTTTCGTATACTGTTCCCTAGAAAGTCAACGTAGGATTTTAGTTTCAATTTACTTCAACCGACTTGATCACACAACTAAATTATAAACTAACACGTGTCTAAATATATTGAGCAGCCTCGTTGAGGGCGTGGGGGTCAGGAGGGAACCCGCGGTCACGGGCCCTCCCTCCTCCTCTAGTCAGCCTCAGGCGGAGCGAGAGCCAGCAGTTTAGCGCAGGCAGCCGGCGGGAGAACGCACGGCCTCGGGCCAACTGCCGCCAGCGGCTCTGCCGCACGCAGGGCGATGGGGGCAGCGCGCGGCTCTTGTGCACTAAGTATTTCTTTTATAATCTAATGAAACCTGCAAAAATATTATGTATTTTTAAAAGTATAATTACACTTCCTACTGTGTAAGACAAAAAGCGAGATTTAAAGTGTTGAGGACAAAGACTGAGGGCAGACAGAGACTTCGGACCTCAAACTTGGATGGAAGAGACGGTTTCTGTGTAAACTGCGAGCTTCGGAGACCGGGAGGAGGGCGAGGCCGGAGCGGGCCGAGGTGGGGGGTTTGCGCAGGGCGAGGGAGTAACCCCGCCTCGATGAGCCTACATCGGCTCCTAGATTCACGAGCCGCCGCGTCGGACTGGCCTGTCCGGCGCCCCGTGAACAGCAGTGGGGTGCCCGCGACATCTGGCCCACGGAGAGCGCCTGGGAGAAGTTCAGGTCGCTTCAGAGCATTCATTTATTACCCGGGCCTGAGAAAGGTCCAAGCCGTTTTAGAATTTCCACTCCTATTTTATCTAGAAGTCAACAGGCTCAAACCCTTTTCCCTTAACACTAATACGCATTTTAAACTGATTCGAGAGAGAACTGTGGAGCACCGGCTGGGTACCAGCGTGCCCTGGGGAGGCAAGCGGGACAGACCGTGGTCCTCACGCCCCAGGAGCCACGCTGGGCCACTGCCCACCCGCTGCGCACATCAGATTTAACTTCATCTCCGCGCCGCGCGTCGTTTGCCTCCTCGGACAGCGAGGAAGTGACTGGCGCGGGGTCACAGAGCCGTGAGAAACCCGCCGCACAGCCCCGCTCTCGCCTGTGAAACAAAGCTGCCGCCTCCTTAAACAAACAGGGCGGCTGAGGCTGGGAAAGGCTAGCTAACGGGTCTTTACCATGAGAGGGAATATCTGGTTAGAAAACTGACCGGAAAACCAATAGTTCAGGAGCAACACTTCCTTCTTTATTACTTATATTGATAATTTTGGAAGAAATAGAACTTAATTTCTAACTTTATTTTTCAAGAACAAAGTTAACTTCTCACACTTGTGAAATATGAAATATTAGCATTGGCCATATAGATTTCTTTGAGCTAAGTTTACATTCAATGAAAGAATCTGAGCAAGTACATTTAATATGTTTAATATGTTAGAGTATTAAAAAAATTTCTATTTATAGGATATCTTCAGTCTGGCCTGCGTTCCAGTGCATTATTTATAAAAGAAACTTAGTCTCTGCCAAGACACTCTCTGCCTCCGACTCCTTATTGGAACGTTAACGTACACGCCACTAACGCTCGCAGCTGCGATCCAGGCTGAACGGGTCCTACGCTTTGAGTTCTTACTGGATGGGAGAAGCAAGACACCGAGTGTGGTCGGGGCAAGGGAAGCGTATCTTGCTCAACGAGGGCCTCGGATCACAGCTAGCAACTCGACGGCCACGCATCTGGCCTACGACCGAGCGCTGCAGGCCCGGGTACGGAGAATCCCGGGTAAGGGCGGGTGGCACTGGCACCCCCTCCTCATCGGAAGGCGCCCGGCAGCCACAGGCGTCGGGCTGAAACGCAGCCACCGGCACCACACAATCTGCAGGCGGGTGACCAGAGCCCCGGCCGCGGGGGACCCTAAAAACAGACAAACCTTAGTGCTTATCGAAAGCCAACTGTCAAATTATACGTATTCCTCGGCGGGGAGGGTGGGGAGTTATCGATCATGGGGACTATCAGGGATTACGAGAGGTCCTGTCCGGGCGACGGGAAAGTGGTGGCGGTGACGGTTGCAGGGCAACGTGAGCGTGAGCGACGCAACTGAGCTGCACCACAGTGACTTGCCTGATGGCCTTTCTCTTTTCCTGTTGATCGGGAGAGACGTAGGCCTTCATCTCCTCCGTTGCACGGTGCAGCTGCACCTGGAGACTCTAGGTGGAAAGGCCGGGTTTCAGGTCAAGCCCTTGATGCAGAAGCTCCGGGCGGCTCCGACTCGCTTCCCCTCTTACCCGAATCATGCAGTTTGTGTAATGGTATTTGCTTTCTCCCTGGAGACACTCTTCTCGGAGCCCTCTGACCTCCTGCAACACACGGTTTCAGACGGGGAGCGTC